CACAATCTTTTATCCTCTTTGCAATCAAACGCCACGTACAGTTTTGTCAATCATACACTTGTTTCGAAAACGATCTTTGCTTGGTTGTTAACTTTTAGTTGATAGCCATCTTCCACACATTTCGTATACAAAGCTATCTTCAAGTCTTCCTTTGTATCAAAACAATCATCTTCTTGATACGAATAACTTTGTGTAACAATCAACTGCTATCTTTACCAACTCTTCTTCCGTATCTGAAGTAATTCTGGCATATTCCAGTTATACTCCCGTGACATTTTCTTCTTTTTCTTTTCTTCGGGGACTTCTTCTTCTTCTTTTCTTCTTCAAGGTTATATAAATTACAGAATGGATGTTCAACATGTTCATTCACAGTCGTAATTTCCTCCTCATTATTATCAATAATATCTTTCTCGGCAACGGCTGTTTCATCATCAAAATTTGGGTATTGACCAATATCAAAATCATTACACGCAGTGTCTGTTTCTTCTTCTGAAACATCATCAAAATTTGAGTATTGACCAAGATCAAAGTTCGGGTATTGACCAACATCAAATTTCGAATACTGGCTAGTACTCACAATTTTTTTGTTGGCTCATATTCGTCTAACTGGTCAATACGAAAATCAGAATTTTGTGCTGAAAGTTGATTGGGATTTGGATTAGGAAAAGGTTGTAGGTTTTGAGATTGTGTTTGATATTGTGTTTGGTATTGGAAATGTGGTGAAACAAAATTTTCTTGGTGATGAAAATGTGGTAGAACCATTAAATTTTGAGGTTGATAACAATGTTGTACATTGTGAGCACCATAAACTGGGGTTGAAGAACTTAGTTGATTACTATCCGCTACTGACCCAACTTCACTACTTCTAGGTTCAACAACATACAATGTAACATCATCTTCTTGCGAAACACTAATGTAAGCAATGAATCGTTCAACATCTTCATTGTCGGTTAACAAATAAACTTTACCTTTTCTCTGATAAGATAGCCTAAATCCACTTAGAGGCTCTAAATTCAATTTCTTTGCAACACGTAACATTAGAGTTTCATAAGTTAATTTTTTTAATGACAGTTTTAGTGAAGATTCATGGGTAAAGACATATATTGTAAACACCATGAACATTCTCCCATGACCTCCAAAACACAAATATATCCAAACATGATCAACATTAGAGATTTCATTCTACAAATTGTAATTAATTTACTAAACAAACGAGCTATAAACTACATATCATCACTAACTTAGAGAAAAACATACCTTTATTAAGTTGATAGTTAATAATTTGGGAGAAAAAACATTGAAAAATTATATAGAAATAAAATTATGTAAAAAAAATTAGAGATGAGGAAGGATGTCGTTGGATATAGGAACGGATGTCGCCGGAAAGAGTGATAGATGGAGATAGAATGAGTTGCGATTTAGGGATTTAGGTTATAAGTTGATGCTGCTGCGTAGTTATATACCCAAAACATTTGTGTTGCGAAACTAAAACCTGTTGTGAAATTAAAATTCGTGTTGCGAATTCAAAAATCGAGTTGCTACAACAAAATTCGCGTTGCGAATTCAGAAATCGAGTTGCGAATTTGAAATTCAGTGTTGCGAATTTGAAATTTAGTGTTGCGAATATGGAAATTGAGTTGCGAAATTAGAGTTCGAGTTGCGAATTTGTTGGTCATTTTCGCAAATCCAAAAAAATTAATTAAAATCGTATATTATAAGACATTTTCGATCACTTTCACTTTCTTTAATAGTTTAGTAAGGAGTTTATGTATTAAAAAAATGTTTTTTTAGGACATATGTGGGTTTGATTTGAAAACATCAAAACGGGTAACAAAATGGATCCTCCAACCCCGGAAGTACCAAAAGTAAAATCCTTTAAACGGTGTGTCCAAAAACCTCCGTAAACCCACAGTTTTTAAGAACTAAAGAGGAGAGAAAGCCAGAGAGAAGACGCAAAAAAGAAACAAAAAATGTTTCAAAGCAGAGTGGTTGCTTCAATTCTAAAGAGAAACAAAGCTATACTCAGTAGCTTAACATCCAATCTCAGGGGAACCTCTTCCTCCCGTTTGTATTTCATATTCTTCTGCTTATGCTCCGATTGCTAATTCATTTGCAAGGAACTCCTTTTATGGCTTTAGATCTCTTCCGAAGGTTCCTTTTTTTCTTCTCAATTTCGATTCTTTATTTACGTTATGGACATGGGTATCCTTTCCTCTTTTCTTTTGCTTTAGATTTCGAATGAATCAATTGTAGTTTAGCTTATTTTATTGTTGACAAAGGATGCGATTGGGTTGATTTCTCTCTTGTAGTTTATTTTTTAAAGATTGTTGTTGAGAAAATGGAATACCAAGTGACTTGGATCATCCCATTTTTTTTTGTTTTGTTTGATTAAACTTTTGAGATGAATGATGGGAATTCGTTTAAATTAAAAAATTTCATCCTAAAACCACGTTATGAGTTTTATGGAAGCACATAGGATTGGTCTTTGATTCTATCATAAACGATGCGTTCCCTGTTCTAATTTAAATAATTATTAGGGATTTTGTGCAGTCTTACCTTTCTATAGCTATCAAGAGGCTACATTTATCTTTTAATTATCTCGTCTGGCATAAATACTTGAAGGTGAAAATGGTGTTTCAGCTCCCCTTTTTTGCATTATATGAAAGAATGTTGTTTCTGCTGTATATTTTCTCTTAAAATTATGTAAAAGAAAAATAATTATTTGCTCTCCAAATGTTTTGTGAATGTCACTAAAAGGGAGTTCTTTTATTTGTTTTAGGATCATCATGTGTCGTCTTTCAGGAGAATGTCCACTGTGGCCTCTGTCGGCGCTGAGGAGGGATTAAAGCAATTAGTAACTGCAGGTCCGCGTGCTCAGAAAATGGTGGGGATATGGCTTTTTGGTTCTGCTGCATGGGTCTTTAGTATGGTGGTACTAGGTGGTGTCACACGACTAACACGATCTGGTCTTTCAATGACTGATTGGAAATTCACTGGGAACCTTCCTCCTCTATCTGATGAGGATTGGCAGCAAGAGTTTGAGAAATACAAGCTGTCACCAGAATACAAGCGGTATGAGAAAAAATGTGGCATAATGATGTATTCGCTGTTATAATTGTAGTTTCACTTCCAAGTATTTGTAGTTTGAAGCCCTAGGTAAACTTGTCTCGTAAATTATATTTTACCTGTTATTTAGTTTTATTTTAAATAACCTCTATCGTGCAGAGTAAACAAAGGGATGAGCATTGAAGATTTTAAGTTTATATACTGGATGGAATATGCACATCGAATGTGGGGGAGAGCCCTAGGTGTCATGTTTGCATTGCCATTCTCATATTTTCTTCGTAAGGGATATATTACCGTGCCTCTTGGACTAAGGCTCTCTGCCCTTTTTGCTCTTGGTGCTGGTCAGGGTTTAATCGGTTGGTGGATGGTTAAAAGTGGATTAGAGGTGAGAAATAATCCAGATTCTCCTAATTTAATTTCACCTTTCTTGGTAACTTTGAGTGCAAATTAGTATTGTTCACTGCACAAATAATTTCTTCATACAGGAACCTGCTTCTGAATATGTCGAGCCACGAGTGAGCCCTTATCGACTTGCTGCTCATCTTACTTCAGCATTTGTTATTTACGGTGGCCTGTTCTGGACTGCACTTTCTGTTGTAATGCCTCAACCTCCTGCTGAATCATTAACTTGGGTTCAAGGGGCTGCCAAAGTCAGGAGACTTGCAATTCCAGTGAGCCTTATTGTAGGCATTACCGCTGTTTCTGGAGCATTTGTTGCTGGAAATGATGCCGTATGTAATTATTTTTGTTCATTTCTTGCATCTCTTCTTTCACAATAGCTTTAAATCTTTTCTGCCCTTGCCGATGAGCACTTTGTGTATCCTTTCATTTCCAGGGCCGTGCATACAATACCTTTCCAAAGATGGGAGATGTGTGGGTTCCTGATAATATATTTGAGTTGAAACCAATAATCCGAAACTTCTTCGAGAATACGTCCATGGTGCAGGTAATTTGTCTTCTATAATATTTCCTGGCGATTGCACTTGGTCCTCTTATAGTTGCTTAGATAAGGGAAACGATTTAAATGCAGGCATCAGTTCATTTATACTGGGTAATCTGTTCAAAGTATATCTGTGAAGCTTGAATTGTCACTTCAATTCAATTTTATTTTACATTGATTGAAGACAATGATACTTATAGTTTTGATGCAGTCAACTCGAAGAAGCTCCATATACACACGCATAGTGCCCTTTTAAACTGGGATTCCTTTGCACTTGCTCTGCACTAAGATTTGCATGGCTTGAAATTGCATGAACGTAAAAATAATGCATGGAGTGCCAATTTTACAACTATTTCGCTAACGGATGGTATACGTATTTCTTGTTGCAGCTTGACCATCGTATCCTTGCAACTACCAGTTTGATCTCCATTTTTGGTTTATGGTGGTGGACCAAAAGGCTGGACGTCCATCCGGCTATTCAATCTTTGGTCGGAGCCTCTTTTGGCATGGCTGCTCTTCAGGTGACTCTCCATTTCGACCCTGTTTTTTCATCCGATAGTACTTGTATATATGACATATAATAAACTCTATTTTTCAATATTACAGGTAACATTAGGTGTCTCAACACTTCTATCATATGTGCCTGTTTCACTAGGCACTGCACATCAGGCCGGGGCCTTGACCCTTCTAACACTGATGCTACTGCTCACTCACACCGTGAGGAAGCCATCAATGTCGCTTCTGAAAACCCTGCCACAGGTTGCAAAGATAGCTTGATATCCATTTTTCGAGGATATTACATTAGATTAATGGAACAGATCGATTTGTTATTCGATCCTCTTATTGTTCTGTATTAATCTTCCATTTTCAGACCCTGAGTTCATTTTGTAAAGACCTATGTAATAAAGAAGAAGTTAATTGAAAATCGTGGGAATTGTTGTCTCATGTGCCTCATTGACTAACCTCATGCAAACCACTTGTCGTTTGAATGGCATAATGGCCGACACATGGAAGAGCCAAATACCTACACGTAGGTTCCAAGAAACACCTAAACAGCACGTCTTTTTAGCCAGACTTGGGTTATAAGATCAAAGAATCAATCACTTTCTCAAGGTGGAAAAATAGAAAACAGAAGTGTAGATCAATGGGAGAAAGGCTTGAACAACAGCAGAGTGGGAGATCAATGATGTTGGCAGCAATTGTTGGTGTGGCCCTGACTGCACCGCTGCTGGGAATGATGGGATTCAGCTTCTTGGCAGCATCAACACTGCTATTTATAAGCTCACCTCTGCTGCTACTGTTCAGTCCTCTGCTGCTTTTTGTTGGGTTGGTTTTCATGGTTGCTTTGGCCGGTTTCGCCATTGCTGCAACCATGGGTTTTGCAGGTGTATCGGCTCTAGTATGGATGTATAGAGAGATAAGAAGAAGAAGTAGTTTAGGAGCTGGTTCCAGTAGGGGTGGGTCGGTTCCAATCAAGTATTTGCACCAAAACTGGCAAGAGATATCAACCATCTGAACCACTGCTCCAATGTTCAACTAATGAGAACAAAGATCATTGCCTGGTCTGGTCTGGTCTGATAATCATGTGTGAATGTGTTGTGTTTGATTTGAGTTTTTTTTCCTGTTAAAAAATAGAAATAAGTTGGTATAATGATATTATGTTGAAATGTAAACAAACTTTGTAATTTCCTTTACATATTCAGAATTGAATGTTTTGTTTTATTATATATATACACACACACATTTCTTGTCTGGCTCAAGACCTGTCCCAAGAACACAAAACATTGAACATGGTTGTTTTTTTCCCTTCCTTGAATATTTTCTAAATTTAATTATAAAAATATTTTTATACACATTTGCGTAATTTTTTATCTTTGCACTTTCTTTATAGCTTCATATTTTTCTTCAGTTTATACTATAATATATTTATTGGTAATGGTTTAAAGGTTTGACTCAACGTTGCTTTAGGTATATTTTTTTAAATTTGACTGAACAACTTTCTTCTGGGTGCAGCCATTAATGGATATTTTTTTTGTCATATTAATAATTGAAGATGTTGGATTTGCACTGTTCTTTGTCCTCCTCGAGTTCTGCTTTAGCCATTAATGGGTGGCAGTTTCTTCTTCTTCTGTTGCAATCAATTGTTCCTTGCTGGTATCAAGAAGAATTAACTGTCACACCAATAAAATCTAACAAAAAGTAACAGTAATAATAAAAATAAAAACTAATTAAAAGTTAGATTATTGTATTATAAATTTTAAAAATTAAATGACCAAAATACAAACGTTCTAAAAAGTTTATTATGAAATATTAATATACTTTTATCTTAAACTTTAAGCCTTATAAAAGAAACAAAGAAAAAACAGGCACTTCAAATTACTAGGAGAAATTACACTAAGAAAACGGAGAATCAGAACTTAGCTACGCTACATATAATCCCGTAAATAAGAAATGGGAATCCCTCTCATTCGTACGGTCTCGTTGTTGAGGGTTCTCCTCCTTACCAAAAGGAAAAAAAAAGTCTTTTTTTCTTTTGGGGGGAAAGAAGAGCATTTTGTTTCCTATTACTAATTATAATATTTTTTTGGGTATTTTGATTCACAGACATTTCGAGATTTCAGAATGTTCGTAATAAAGGTCAGTTCTTTCTCTGATCCGTTGATGTTTTGGCTAGTTTTTTTTTTGTTCCTTTTGTTGTTTGAGATTGTTTATTAACCATCCTTTGATGTTAATATTTGAATATAATGTGTGCTATTGATTGTTTGGAATTTGAATCTGTTAATTTTTTCGTGTATTTGATGTTGTTGGCTTCTGTTTGATGCATAGAAGTCATGGAAATAAAAAAAATAGTTTGGTTTTATTATAGTATTAATTGATGGATGAGTATGCTAGGAGAATCAACTTGAAAGATGAGATCTTTATTTGGAATGGTATTACTTTATTACAATTTCAAGGTATTGTATGCTTACTTGTTAACATTATGCATTTTTCTGGGAGCAAATTTCAATTGTGCTGTTGTTTAGACATTGAGGAATTAAGAACCAAGCACGTGATATTGTAATGCATTTCTATATTAATGGCTATGGTGAACTTTTTGCTCTTTTGATAATTGATGGGTGAAGATGGATTACAAGCAGCGAGTTGGAGTTCAATCCCTCGTTGAGGTATGCTATTTTTCGTTCTAATGTTTTACCCTTCTTTGTGGTCAGGGTATATAGTTTTTGAGTTGCTAATTATTCATTTTTTTTATTGTTTCTACCCTGCATTTTGTTTTAATGATTGTTGTGGCACAGATGGGATCAGTAGACAATAGGTCAATGCTTGATCTCGATGATGAGTGCCTCCTCTCCCCTGGAAAGGATGTTCAAAAAATACAAATACCATTTACTGATCAACAATTACCACTTCCTGATGGTTTCCTCGTTCTTTATAATAAAATGATAAGAAACCGTGTCTATGGTAGCATAAAGACCGTAGTTTTTTCTAATAAACTCAACTTGCTCATGCCTTTTGGGCCTCTAGCAATCCTGGTTCACAGGCTGACAGCCAATAATGTGAGATTTTTTTTTTGCTCTTTGCTTGCTTCATATTATTTTTCATGTAAGGAGTATAGTTGCGAGGTGGATTGCAGGGGTGGGTCTTCTTTCTAAGCTTACTGGGTATAACACCTTTGGCAGAGCGTTTGGGTTATGTGACTGAGTATGAATTCATTTTCTTTCATTGAATTTGTTCTTTTGGTGCTATCGATTGTTTTATTGGCATTTAACATTGCCATTTCTTTTGATTGAACGTAGGCAGTTGGCTTTTTACACTGGACCTACAGGTACTTATTATTCTTAATTGTTATGGATTTTTTAAAACCCTCTTTTAAAAATTTTATCTATAAATTTATTGTTATTAAGGGCCTTTAATATGTTGAGATCAATTGCAGTTGGTGGTCTTCTAAATGCTACGTTTGGAAATGCAACAGAACTGATTATTTCGATATATGCACTGAAAAGTGGAATGACGCGTGTTGTTCAGCTGTAATTGTTGGGCTCAATTTTGTCAAACATGCTTCTTGTTCTTGGGTGTGCGTTCTTCTATGGTGGGCTCATGTATCGTAGAAAGAATCAAGTTTTTAACAAGGTAAGGATACATCGGTATGTTGCCTGCATTAATTTCCGCTATTTTTCTGTCTTGTCGCTCTAAACAAACCTAAAGTTTCATCCAGCCCACAGGCATTGTCAATTCAGGACTGCTGCTGATGGCAGTCATGGGTTTACTATTCCCAGCTGTCCTCCAGTACACACACGCTGAACGGCAAGTCAGGAAGTCAGAGTTGGCTCTTTCAGGATTTAGCAGTTGTATTATGCTTGTAGCCTATGCTACCTATCTTTTTTTCCAGTTAAGGAGTCGAAATGATTTCTATTCCCCTATTGATGAGTTTGGTTATTGTTGTTTTGGCATCTTTTGAATATGATAAGTACTTTGTTTGCTATTTCGCCCCAAAAGTATTTATTGAAGAATATGAAGTGTTGTGGCAAATGGTATGATATCAGGAAGGAAGTCGCAATGGGGAAGCCTCAGATACTGAAGAGGATGAAGCTCTGGAGATCACCAAATGGGAATCCGTGATTTGGCTTACAATCTTGACTGCTTGGATCTCCATTCTATCAGGCTATTTGGTGGATACGATACAGGTAACGATTTTTTTTCCGGTGATTTGCATTTCTAAAATTATATTCAGAAGGATATAGGCTGATTACTTTTACCGTCTTTCTCCTTTCTGATTGTTGTTTATCAGGGGGCATCTGAGGCATGGGATTTATCAATTGCATTTATCAGTGTTATCTTGCTCCCCATTATTGGAAATGCCGCAGAGCACGCAAGTGCTATCATGTTTGCCATGAAAGACAAGCTTGTAAGCTATTCTCTAACTTTCATTTCATAGAATTTGTATGACATCTAATTAATAAACTTCTTTTCAGGATATAACATTGGGAGTGGCGATAGGATCATCAACTCAAATTTCTATGTTTGGGGTTGGTCCCGTACATTGGATGTGCTCATTGTCTATTAATATTACATTTTGTTTTATATAATGCCATGTAATGTCGGAATAATTAGGTGACCCGATTGACAAAAATTCAAAAATAATGATCAAAATAAAAAGAAATTATAGTTAGGTGATAACTGATATAATTTACCTAATTTTGGAGTTTACCGCCACTAAAATCTTAAAATTTAATTTTTCTTACCATAAAATCTTGTGTCCTTGCATGCATGGTATCATAACTCCCACGTGTGCAGGAAAACGCCTCTGCTCATTTGCTGGCGTTATTGTCAAACTTTTGCTGATAAATCTGGTTAAACTAATTCGACTAAACGACCTAAAATTTTATTGTTTTGTTCATTTAATCCGTGTTATCGATGAATAATAAAATTTTTAAATATTAATTATAATTGTCTCAAATTATTTAAAAGGAAAAAGAAATCAAACCTATTGTTGTTACATCAAAGACCTCAAACATAGGTGAGATGAAGATAATCAACTTCAGTGAGCTATGTATTATTTAAAATTATATTAAGATTTTAAGTTGTTCTTGTTGTTAAATGTTAGATTTTCCTTTTGAAATTTTTGGATTCAAATTTTGTCAAATATTTATTAATATTAAATAAAAATATTTAAATAAAATTTAATAAAAATAAATGTGGCTGTTTTTTAGGGATAAAATGTAGGGTAAATTATAAATTTGGTACCTGAACTTTACTCTCTCTCTCAATCTTATTTCACTTATTGTACTTTAAATCTTTTCATTATTCTCATTTTACTTAATGCATTGGATTTTTTTGTCGCTCAAACCGTTAAATAGTTAACGACGTTCAAATGAACAATTATATAGATACAAAACAATTTTGTTTTGGCAAAAAAAATTAAAATGACGTCATTTTTAATGACATTAAGAAGTGACAAAATAGGACAGAAAATAAAATTCAGTGACAAAAAATTTCAATGTATTAAGTTCAATGAGAAATTTAAAAAGTTTTAAAGTTTAGTGAATAAAATAGGAGAGAGAGTAAAATTAAGTGATTAAATTTGTAATTTACCCTAAGATATATAAGGTTTGTATAGTTTAGGGGCATTATTGTTAAAAGCAAACATTAGGTAGGGAAAACAGATAAATGGTGCATTAAGCCAAGTTTAAAAAGTCATTTACATGTGCTGTTTCAGCGTCAAAGAGCGTCGAAGAGAAGGTTCTAGAGCCGCCGCTGGTTGTGGTTTCATTTCAAAGCTCAACCCTTGGCTTTTCCATCTTTCTTAATTTCAAGATATGGGTATGCTCAGTACTTCAATACTTCCTCCTTCAATTGTTAATGGTCGAACCATTTTTTCTGTTTTCCACTCTTCTTTTTCTTCTTCTCTTAAAACCGTTGCTAAAGCTTTAAGTAATTGCATGCCTGTAAAGGGAAGCCCAGAAAATTATGACCGCTTTGATAAAGTTGATGAATCTCTGAATTTGTTTAATAAGATGA